CTCAGGTTATCTTTGTGTAATATTAAAATTTGTTTGATGATCTGAATCTTTTAAGTGTGACATATGCAAACAATTAAAAAAACTGGAAGGGGGCAAAAACTTTTTCACACCACTGTATATATATATACACTTTTTTTTAAATTCGATATTTATGTTAATCCAAAAACAATCTGTAGCTGGGAAATTACAAAACATCTTATAAAAAAACTAAATTGGTTAAAAATGGTGGTAAGGTTTCACAGAATAAAACAGAGCAAATAAAGTGTAATGATGTAAATAAAAACATTATTCTTCCACCAAACAATGTAATTCCTCAGAAACAGTTGTGGTTGCAACAAAGTGGTTGCCGAGCAACACACAAACGTAAACAAAGGTGTGTGTTTGTAGAGTAATTTACAACAGCTTAGAACACGGCTCAGCCAATCAGAATCAAGGACCGGAACTCTCAGTTTTATAATTGGGAGTAAAAATTCTTATCCAGTAAGTTACTAACATACAGAAACGTCCAATTTAATGGTTTAAAAAGCGGGATCCCTGAAGAACATTCAGCTCTTAAAAACTTACTTTAATTGTAATTATAAGTTACTTATTTTCTATTTTATCTATGGACAAACCTAATTTCTGTAAATTAAAAAAAAAAAATGTTTTGAAAACAAAAACTCATTACAGCAGATATACTAGAGCAAACCTAGCCGACATATGGAGGAGGCCTTCAAAAAACACAGACAATGAGGAGGCCTTGGAGTCAAAATGGTTGAGAACCACTGCATTACACATAACGAAGATCTGACGAGCGACATTAACACTCCCTGACTTGTTCTCCATGCAGAGGGCGTCCACATCGATGATACGCTTCTCCTGGCCGCCCAAGATGTGGTTCAGCTCGAGGTTGAGACGTTCAGCCTTCTCCTTAAACACGGTCCTCTCTGCCTTTACATCCTGCAGTTCATCGCTCAGCGTCTTCAGACTGTGTTCAAGCTCTTCTCTCTTAAAATAATAGTGCCAGTGGATATTCTCACAAAGTGCTGTATTTGAATTACTATGACTTGATGTCCATACGAACACTTTCCCTGGAGTGCCATCCTCTCTCTTTGGCAAAAATATACACACTCCCAAAGAGATCAGGAAATAAAGCCATCAGGTTGATTGTCACAGCATCAGCTTTACTGTGGAGAGAATGACATAAAACACAATTATTGTGCAAGAAAGTCTTAAAACTGAATGAGTTTGAAACTCATTTTTTATACAATTATTTGATACTTCTCTCCTGCCTGTTGATCAATCTTGATCACTTGCTAATTTATTTGTATTCCGTCTTGCATTATCAACATTGCATTACCAGCCCAGGATTTGATATGCAACATTTTCCTGCAATTCATCGATCCGTTGCCAGTTATTCCTGTAACTCACTAATGCTCGTGCAGGTTGCGTATAAATCGCAGCAGGCCCAGTGTGTTCTCAGGATAGGCTTTCTTCTTACCATCCAGTTTCTGCACAAGCTCAGAAGGCAACTGTGAAAACCATATTTTGACACTGAACAATGCATTTCCACATTAAGCTTTCAATTAAACTTCAACAATAAAAGCAAGGTCAATTATGTTGCATAAAATAAGCAATACCAGCTGGTTTTTAAAATGATTGACTTACTTTAGTCTTCCACTCAGAAAAGCTCTTCCCCTCGTTGTATTTTACAATGGCATTAAGGAGCTCCTCATCTGCGTTACGGCAGTTTTCAGCCTCTTTCTCGTTTCCCAATATTTTCAGATACTGCACTCTCCTGAGACGATTTCAGAAACCTATTACAATCAGCTGTATCATCTATTCTATAGAGTCTAAAAACTACATACAAATAAATTGTGATTGAAAACAGATTGTTTTAGGCTTAAAAGGAACATATTGGGAGCAATGACTCATGGCTCGGACAAATTCATTCAAGCTTTGTACTGTATTTCACCTGCCAAATGTCATCAAGATCACATTATACCTGTCATCAGTCCAGAAGAAGGGGTGTGCGAGGGTTTGCTCCACAGTTGGTCTCTCATTTGGATTTTCATTGATCATCCACTTGACGAGATCCTTCGCTACATCATCTTCCAGATGCTCCAGTGAGTATCTTCCTCGTGAAATGTTGTACTCACAATCCACATCTTCACCAAATGGATGGTGTCCTCCAGAGAGAATGTAGTAGACTAACATCCCAGCAACCTTCAAACAGGTTACAGTGTTACGATGATTTCAGAATGTTCACTAAGGAAACTTTTAGCTAAATGATCAATTTTGAAACCCCACCTGAATGTCAGAGCTCCTCTTGTAGCCAGTGTTGACTTTCTGATTTATGGTCTCTTTTGCCTTCCAGCATCTAGTTCCAGCGATGCTTGTTCGTAAAGTGGTTTCGCCCTGTTTCAGTCGGCGACTTATGCCAAAATCAGCCAATCTGGCTTGTCCTTTTATGTCTGTAACAAACAGAAAGTTCAAATTATTTCTAGAAAAAAAAGTATTCTAATTAATTTAATCACATAAGTTTAGCTCCTACCAATCAGGACATTCTGGGGTTTGATGTCTCGATGGAGCACTTTGGTCTTCTTGTCGTGTAAAACCTGTAAGCTGCAGAGAACTTCCTTCACCAGCTTCTTCAGAACCAAAGATCTCTCAGCGCGGTCATCTGGTAAATGATCTTGGATATATTCCTCCAGCGAGTACTCACAAAGCTGAAGAACAAGATATCCGAAATGTGCATCCTCTGCAAAGTCCACATATCGCACGATAGAGGGATCATCAAGTTCTGGGAGTCGTAGAAATTCCTCCTCATTTCTGAGGTCTTGGTAATTAAACCTGTTCATTCGTTTCACAGCCACCTCAGTGCCGTCATCCCTCAAACCAAGGAAAACTTGAGTTCCATCACTTCCTTTAGCGATCAGAAATTCAGGGTCAAGAATAAGAGTAAGGTTTCCCAGTCTGTATGTTTTGCTAGTCGTGTAAAACCTGTAAGCTGCAGAGAACTTCCTTCACCAGCTTCTTCAGAACCAAAGATCTCTCAGCGCTGTCATCTGGTAAATGATCTTGGATATATTCCTCCAGTGTGTACTCACAAAGCTGAAGAACAAGGTACCCGAAATGTGCATCCTCTGCAAAGTCCACATATCGCACGATGGAGGGACTTTCAAGTTCTGGGAGTCGTAGAAATTCCTCCTCATTTCTGAGGTCTTGGTAATTAAACCTGTTCATTCGTTTCACAGCCACCTCAGTGCCGTCATCCCTCAAACCAAGGAAAACCTGCGTTCCATCACTTCCTTTAGCGATCAGAAATTCAGGGTCAAGAACAAGAGTAAGGTTTCCCAGTCTGTATGTTTTGCTAGCATCAATGTTAGCTAGCTTCTCAAGCTTGGACCTCCAACGATGGCTTGTTTGATGCCACCTTCTTGGGATATTTGGGGTCTCATCAGGCTGTGTGAACGGCTGCACACTGGAATTTGATTCCTCAATGGATGACACTACAGTGTCTGGAAATGGTTCTTCTTTACCTTCACCTTCTTGTGATCCCACCTCTTGCTGGATTTTTTTCTTCTTTTTTTTCTTTTTCTTCTTCTTGCTGCTTGTTGATAGAGCTGCAGTCTCCTCACATAAACTCTCCACTGCACTCGAACCTGCTGGATGCCTCAGTGATTCATCCAACTTTTGCAGTTTCTTTTTCATGACTTCATCCATCTCTATCTCTGCGGTGTTCAGTATCATCTCTGGGACAGAGGGCAATGCTACAAGTTTAGGAGCAATGTCATATATATAGGCAAACAGTCCATAGGTCCAAACTCTAATTAGACTTGAATAATCAGGATGTGTGAGAGGCAATAGACTTTTGTATAACTTCTCATAGACAGAAAGGTTTAGTCCCAGTTTCTGCTCAGACGTCTTCTGCATCATGACATTGAGTATCATCAGAATCACCTGATTGATTATTGCTCCTTGTGCATTTCCAGAGTGCTGAAGACTTTTTGTTAGAATTGACACAAGATCACTGAATACCGGAGCAGAAATGCTTTCACTGACACACAAAGCAGCATATAAGCAGTTCAGTGCAATCTGCCAGTGTTTCTGAGGGATTCTTGGGAAGCGTTTGATGACTCCTTCAGTGTATCTCTCTGCACTCTTTGTGTCTTTTAACCACTTGATGGCACTCTGATGATACTGCTCCGCACCTTGTCCAATGACACCAAAATACACCTCAAACAAAATTGTATGAATGATAGGATGCTCTTGAAAGAAATGTTCCTTATAGATTCTGAAAACTTCTATCTCCTTTTTCGTTCGTACAGCACAAGAAAGAGAGAAAAACAGATGTACTTTCTCAAACACTTGACTCTGTGAAGACAATCGACAAATAATTTTCTCCACTTTTTTATCAAGCTCTGGATTCACCCCATAGTTCCTTTCAGGTGAAGCTCCAGCCTCTATAAGTGCTTTCACAATGTCTTCACGGTCACGATCAACAGCACATTGTAATGGAGTGAACAACTGAAATCCATCTGGATCAGCTTTTGCTGCAAGTAATCTTTTCACAATAGTCAGTTGAACTCCATTTGTTAAAGTAGCATAATGTAGAGGAGTTCGTCCGTTTGTTGAAGGTTTGTTTGGATCAGCCGACTCTCCAAGTAGATAAGAGCAGATTTCTTCATTTCTGCATAAAACTGCTGCAGTTAATGGAGTAACATCATCTTTCCAGTCTTCAGAAGGGTACAGTCCATTAATATCTCTGCCTCTTATTAATTTGCGAAGTCTCTCTGCCTTGTTGTCTATGATGCATTTTATTAGAGGGTGTGTTTTTCTAGGAACCGCTGGAATTGGAATTGGAAGTGAGATCTGGAATGCCATGGACCTTCAAATGTTCATTTCAGTCTGTGGAGAGATGTTAAACACCATTGTCATTATGGACATTTAATACATCTCATTCTTTAATGTTTTTTTTTTTTACAAGTAGTTGTGAACTACAGAACAAGTCCAAATCCCAAATGTACAACAACACCATTGTTGGGCAACAAATCTAAAAAATGATTATTAAATTGTATATATTTTTATTATGTAGCCTATATATATAAATACACACACATGCATGTATATATTTAAGAAAAATATGTTATATATAAAATATTTATATTTACATAATATAAATTATAAATATATATTAATATTTATATTATAAATATTTTAAATATTTGAATAATTAATTAATCTGTTCATATAATTGACCCTTTCCAATGTCATTGTCGTTGTAGTGTTCACTTCTTTAACCAGCAACTAGCAATATTATAAAAAATTTTGCATAGAGGACAAAATTCACAATTGTTTTCTAATTCATTGTGTGTGTGTTGTGTGTGTCAAAATGATCAACTAAGATATAAAATATATAGCCTATAAAATATTATTCTGGCTATCATTGTGTCCAATTTTCAAGAAGCAAGTGATCAGATCTCTGTAGTGTGTGTATGCTGCGTTAAGGAAAAGGACAAAACAAAATGTTCCATATGACTTAACACATCTGTTCTATAAAGCTGAAAAAAGTATAGTATTTAATTAAATGCACCTTTAAGTTGGTTTGCCAACCGCCAATAAAATTTAAAGAAGAAGAAGAAGAAGAAGAAGTAGTTTTACCGGTGCACTACAAGTAGAAGAGCCACACGAGAAGAATAAACTGTAACCCTCCAAGTTTATTCCTCTTGAGGCCAATGAGGTATGTGTTTTATCGTGTTAATCGCTTGCCGTATGTGAACATGTGTTAATGTATAATTAGCCAATTAAGTGTATTTTCTTACGTGTTGAATGTGCACCTTATTTATTCGTTTTGTATGTATATTTCGTTTATTATTATGTGTAAAACACCACTTTTAGGGTTAATTTAAGTTCTGACGGCATTGTTGGGGCATAAAAGAAGAAAGACTAGCATGTACAAAACATGTTGAAGACTCGTGTCCAAATAAATGTCTGTTAAAACCAAGAACGACCTGAGCCTTTGATTCAACTCGAGGGGAGTAACAGTCAGAACTCTTTTGTATGTATTTTTCGTTTATTATTATGTGTAAAACACCACTTTTAGAGGGTTAATTTAAGTTTTATGTATTTCCTTTCGTAGTTCTGACGGCATTGTTGGGGCATAAAAGGGCTACAAGACTAGCATGTACAAGACATGTTGAAGACTCGTGTCCAAATAAATGTCTGTTAAAACCAAGAACGACCTGAGCCTTTGATTCAACTCGAGGGGAGTAACAACCATAATATACATGTACAATATAAATATTAAATATAAACAATAAAATCTTGTTCTTTAGGGAACTAAGACCGGTTGCATGAAAGCCCTTAAGTTAAGAAAAGTTAGTGAAACATGATAGTCTACGGCTTGCCTGATGCATAGCATAAAGCTGATATTTAGCGCCGTTTACAACCAACACCAACTGCAGAGATATCTGGATCTAACAACGATTAACAACAAAAAAGTCAGATGAAGATGCGCACTAGATAGGCGTTTGTTAGTACTACATACTATTCCCATTTCACTTTACTTGTTTTTTTTAAGGCAATCGGTTTGCATGCTTTTTTTAAGTAAGGTTTACTAATTGGATTTTACAGTGTATTAGTATTACTGCTCAATTATTAATTAATTAATTGATTATTTATTTAATGATTAATGCATTATGAAATTGTTTTACAAATTAAATTAGGTCCCCCTTCACTGGCCTTCTTCCATGTTTCCTCCATCTCTGTTGGTGCCCTTGTTTGTCTATTTAGCTACATCTACCAACCATCATCGCTTGAATTAATGTCACATGTCTGCACGTTAAATGCGATTTTACTCCAATGGGGAAGGAGTATATGAGGAATAACGTTACAGCACATTTATTATTGCACTGATTGGCTATTAGCTGCAAGCAGACAGTGTCAACAATATATTGAAAAAAAAAAACAACAAAAACAGCGACCATAAATGTAAAAAAATGTAGGTTAGGTTTTCCTAACAAGCAACCATATTTTATAAAACAAGCCCAAAAGACTGCAACCCGCGACTTTTTTTTTTTTTTTACGCGACTTCTCAGAAAATTCCCGAGCACAGTTGCCAAGTCCGCGTATTTTACGCGACTTTGGGCTTCTTTTTTTGTGAACTCCGACTCTCAGAAAAGTCTGACATCCAGTCCGTTTTTTTATGCCCTTCACTCGCAAACTTCCCTCCGTCTGGTTTACTCGGATATACGTCATTGATTACGTTGCACGAGTGCCCTGGCGGAACCCTTGGAATGGACTGAACTGGAACGTCCTAAGCCCTTGATCACTTAGGCCCAATCCCAATTCTATTTTATCCCCCTTCCCCTTCCCCTCCGCCTACCCCTTCCCCTTGTCCCTTGAAACAGAGTGTCAAGGGGTAGGGGTGAAAATATCCCCCTAAGAATTGGGACACCACTACTATACGTCACACGTCATCATACGTCGTCTAGCTCCTACAATACACACACCTATACTGGTGTGCTGGTGTGCATTAGAGCCTTTAATTACCGTTCTATATTAATGCGCTGCTTACTGACACACACACACACACAGACACACACATATCAGAGATCGCGCAGCTCAAACATCCAGGAGCAAAGATACTTGTTAACGCTGCACCGCGACTTTTATTAATAACAGTTTAAATACTGAATCGCTACATTACATTTTCCAGCAACCAGAGGATAAAATCGCTATTTTTTAAGTAAAGTGGAACGCACTTCAAAATGGCAGCGGGGATTCCCCCGAGGGGAAGTGCTTAGGGAAGTTCGCCAGTGCATGTCTAAAAGTGGAGTGGAACGCAGCCCAAGTCGAACACAAACAGGTGTGGCGTTGATAGTTTTGCCATAGAAACGACGAGTCGAGGGCCGTGTCCGAAATCGCCCCCTATACCCTCATTCACTATTCCCTACATTAGGTCACTAATTCAGTTCACTAGAAGGAGTGAATGAAAACGAGTAGTGAATTCGGACACTGAGTGCACCGGAAGGAATGCCGCTTTTGCATAGTTTGTGCTTGCTGTTTATTAATCATTTGAAACTAGCAAACTAGCAGCTCCAGTAGTAAGATTAAAGGATTTATCTTGAACTCTGTCACGGAAATTATGTATAAACCCTAATCAAACAATTTAATAATCAATTTACAATGAATTTATACCCGTGTTGTACATTATGCTGTACGCCATGGATGAGCGCTTTGTAAAAATGAACGGATTGATTATTCAGCTGCGGGCGCCATCTTCTGGCGAGATGCGCGAATTCATTCGGCGCGTGACTCTCACGGTGCATTATGGGCATTCTCTAGCCGTTGAGCGTGCACCAGTTATACGCTCGTTTTTGCAGTGCATTGTGGGATTGAATGAGTGCACTCGAGAACGTCCACTATGGTTTCGGACACCACTAAAAATGGCTGTTCCCTCAAATAGTGCCCTATTTAAGGGTATAGGGGGCGATTTCGGACACAGCCGAGGACTTGAAAAGTTCAGAGTACAACGCAATTACGACATGGCGTGAATGCAGCAAGGTTGACGGTTAAGACGTTTGTTGCAAAGCTCTTTAAGTAATCCAACAGGGATTTTTTCCCCACTTCAGGGATAGGCCTACCTTTACGTCAAATCACTTAATGCAACCCGGCCCTGGTGCCCTATATGCTCTGCGTTATATTGTGGCCATCTGAAAACATAAGGATTAGAAAATATGTTAAAATAAATTGACAATAGGATAGATAACCGTATAGGCTAATAAGTCAGTTAGGTGTTATCATCAAACCTTTGTCTTTTTGCGGCTGCTCAAACCACACCTGTCCAAAGTTCTCCTTAAGCAAATTTAAAATGTAAGAGCCAAACCAGTTTTATCTGCATCATTAAAGAAATGATTAGCTATAGTATGTTTCAAAGATGCTATGAATTAAATAATAAAACGGACAGAACAACAATATGATTAATTAAACAATGTTATATTAGAAAAAAGACAGACTAAGTGATGGATGTGTTGTGTTTGGGGGGGGGGTTGTCTTTGATTAAAGTCACAATTTTAAATGAGCTTTGTGATTGTAAACCTACAAATTCACACTGTGTGATTTTCTATATTCAAGTGATTTTTCAAGTGATGAAGTGATCTGGCATGGCTCATGACAACCAGAAACTGCTCTGCGTCTAATTTTGCCATGCTAAACTTAGCTATTAACAAATTGAAAATATCCATAAAAACATGTTTTTTAACACAATCTCAAAGTAGGCTTTTATTAAGCAAATCAAGATGTGAATTACTCACACATTGCTTTAAAACTGTTAGCATCTGTTGGCCATGATTCAAACTGACTGAGTTTGGTTCCTTGTAAATTAAATAACATTTGGATGTAAATCCTTCTCCTGACATAAATGTAAAGCACTTAGCTGCTACAAAGGCTTGTAGTGCTATTGACATTAAGTGACATGGCATCTGACGTACAGAAGCCATTGGCACATGACACTATGCTATTGCCAGTGGATGGTGGTATGTGGCACTAGGACTTGTGACATGTTCTGATGGATTGCGTCATATGCCACTGACATGTATCGCAGAACACTGACATTATCACAGAACATGTTGCTGTATGCTGTGACACCTGACTGACAGTCAAGCAGAAGATGTAATTCTGACACAAAATCCTAAATAAATAGCCTAATTTAGTGATTTATTTTTTAAATGTCAATTAAATGTATTTAAAAGTCAGTAATATTTTTTCAAACATGTTGTCAGTTTGTGGTACTGTACGGTATCTGTATTTGAGTGGCATGTGTACATGTGCATGTGAATGTTTTGTACCAGTGCTATTGTATGTTGTGTATTAAGCTACCCATTCTAGATTCAAGATTTTCATCTATCTATGGCTTTAGTGTTTAAAAAAAAAAAAAAATTATAAAACAGGTAGTTCCAGTCCTTGATTCTGATTGTTTGAGCCACGTTCAAAGCCGTTGTAAATTGCTCTACAAACACCTTTGACCTCATTAACATCAGTATTCCAGCGCCACTGCGTCTTTGTGTTGCCGTGGTTCTATGTATTATGTTTTTCAGCAAAATTAACTGTTTGTTATTTATTTAAGTACGAGTGACTCGCCATTTTGAGACAACAATCACGCCCTTCCCCCATCTTCTCATGTGGGAGAAACGCTCCAGTTACTAACGTAACCTTGGTTCCCTGCAATAAGGGAAATGAGCATTGTGTTGAATCACACTTGGGGGAAACTCCATTTTTCTCTGAATACTGAAGCCTGATTTGTTAACGTTCGTGCAGCTGCACAAACCTATGGCATTTAAGCCAGGCAAAATGAGCACTGCCTATAAGTTGGCACTGATGCCATTTCATCAGAATCTTTCGACTGAGAATTCGCAGCATCGACTCGCATGCAGCTGTATAGCACAGCAGGGCACCCAATGCTCATTCACGTTATCTCAGGGAACCAAGGTTAAGTTAGTCTCTCACATGGCATTGAATCATGCTTGGGGAATGATTTACCATAGCGCCGTGCTATAAGTGCAGAATGGAAGCAATCCTGCTAACCTAGCTCTATTGTGCTGCGAAAAGGGCGTTAAGAAACATAGGCCAACTAGTGAGACTCAGGCCACCAGGCCGGAGCTCTCAGCCAAGACAGTCCAGACCACTTACTAGGGGTGCAAGACAATTAAGCAGACAAGATTCATGCCTGAAGGACAGGCACATCCCGGTTATAAAACCTAGCAAAGGTAGAGGGTGACGACCAACCAGCTGCCTCGCAAATATCCCCAATGGAAAATCTGCTGGACCAAGCTCAGGAGGAGGTCATCCCCCTAGTAGAGTGGGCCCTCACTCCAATGGGGCACTCAGAGCCCACTTAGGCATAAGGCGGGAAGAGCTAACCGAGTGATGACCTGTGCAATGACACTTTAGGCATGTAACCTAGCTTGGGTTAGAGGACAACCTTACAGTCGTTTGGCCCTAACTCCAAACAGGAAGCGCTCACTGAGCGCCTTGTAGATGGTGCTCTGGCCTCTGCTATAGTGTTGGCTACCTTCACAGGGAGCCGCAAAGGCTCCTGTTGAGGGGCCATAAATGTAGGCTACATGAATTGGGTTGGGGATGCCACAGGGAACCTTTCACTTGAGAGAGAAGGTCTTTCCTCCGTGGAATCGGCCAGGGAGTTGTAGATGACAGCTGTATCAGTTCGGGGAACCACAACTGGTTTCGAGTGGAGTTACCAGTATAAGTAAGCATCCGGTCTCCCTCATGAGCAACCGGGGGAAAGGCGTCCTGTTCCTTCAAGAAAAATGTTGGGCAATGAGAGCTGTCTTCTGAGGCAAAGAGTTCTACCTCTGCCTTCCTGAAGATCTCCCAAATCATCTGAACCATTTGGGGGTGAAGTCACCTTTCTTCTGGAGACACACTGCCCTGGGACAGCATGTTCAGTCTCCCTGGTTCAGTCTTCCTGGCACGTTCACCGCCCTTAAGGAGCCCAGATCTGTGCCCATAGGAGGAGGTGTCTCTCCATTTAGTAAAGAGAACATGACCTGAGGCAGCCCTGGCAACTTAAGAATGTCACCACCATCATGTTATCCGAATGGACAAGGATGTAGTGCCCTTTTAGGGCTGGTAGAAAGGTTTTAAAGGCCAGAAAAAACGCCGCCATTTCAATACAGTTGATGTGCAGGCATTGCTCCAGGCTGGACCAAGAGCCAAACGCTGCTCTGCCCACGCACAGAGCTCCCCAACCAAAGCTGGAGGCGTCTGCCATAACTACCCTCCTTCTGGAGGTCAGTCCCAATTGGATCCCTCTCTGATATAGGCAAGGGGCCTTCCATGGGGCCACAGTTGGGACACAGCGATGGTCCACCTTGAGGCCAAACTTATGTGAGGATCTGCTTCAAAGTCAACATCCTTAAAAGCCATTAAAGCGTTGTTTAGGAGCCTGAGATTGAGGATGGGCCTGAGCCCACTATCTTTCTTTGGAATGAAGAAATACTGGCTATAAAAGCCTGACTCGCTAAAAGCTGGTAGAAGTGTATCTATGGCGCCCCTTGCCAGCATACACTATACTTCGGAATGGGGAATGCAAACATCACTGTCTTGTCAGCGTCCTTGATCTTTGTTAACTTTAGCCAGAGGTGGTGCTCAAGAGCCACCATGTTGGCCGTTGTTTGACCAATTGCTTGGGTCGATGACAAAGTAACACACAAAGTAGATAAGTTGTGATGTGCAGCCCCTTAAAAGTAGAATGATCTGGTATAAAACACTAAAAATGCCTGCACACTGGTGCATTTACAAATTGATGTTTTATATTCATTTCATTAAATATTTATTGTACATTTCAGAATATAAATCAATATATATCAATATATATATATATATATATATATATATACAACAAAAAGTACAGATAAGAATACCGTTAAAGTACTGAATCGATAAGCAGTATCGGTAAGAGTAGTAATACCGTTAAAACCTTAACGATACCCATCCCTAACCTGGAATGACTCATCTATGGTGCAGAGGAGTTTGGCCTAGAAAACCTGGAAGGCCGCCATTGTATGGAGAGCAACACCAGCTTGATCAGCTGCAGAGTAGGCTCTGGCCACTATGGCCAGTTTCACTCTGCTGGGCTCAGAAAGGGTGGACAACCTTAGCGGTCCATCCCAGGGCCATGAAATGCAAGGGTGTATGGCAACAGCCTCTTCGAGGGGAGAGGCTTCTGTGTCATGCTTACTGTGCTTTAACTTCAAATATCACAGTTAAACTAAAGCACAGTATAGCACAACACTTAGCATGCTTTTACCACAGTAACTGTAGTTTTACCGTGATATTTAAAGTTAAAGCACAGTATAGCACGACACTTAGCATGCTTTTACCACAGTAACTGTGATTTTGCCGTGCTAGTTTTGGTAAAAAGCACAAGAACCACAACACTTATCATGCTTTTACTGCAGATTTGTGTAGCACAGTAATCACCAAACTTACTATGGTTTTACCACTGTAATGGTAGTTTTGATGTGCTTTTATGACAAATATCACAGTAATCACAACACTTACTGTGCTTTTAATTACCTAATGTAAAATGCAAAAACTGTCATTTAAATCAGTAAATCAGTATCAAGTTGTGCCTTATGACTCTGACATCTATTCTGTAGAGCAGTGAAATAAAAACAAACAAATCAAGCATGATTAAAAAACAAGACACTGTACTTGAGTAGCCTATAACAACAACAAAATAAAAATAATAATGCTAACAAAAGTTTCTGACTCGCTGCATGTGAAAGCAAATGCCCTTCCTTGTTCTTACACCTTGCAGAACATGTAATTTATTACAGGATCAGCTGAGCAAAACAATGTTGTTAGCAAATTGTTGAGTAATATCATACTGTACATTTAAAATAAGTAGTAAATAGGCTGTAAACAATAAAATCAGTTCTTTAGGGTACTGGTGCCCCATAGCAGAGACTGCGTGCTAGGGCTGTGCGATTAATCGAAATCGAATCGAAATCGCGATTTTGATGGATTCTATTGGTGGGATGTAATCTGGCAGATGGCAACCAATAGAACAACAGTAATTCATTTTGGAATAATGCCCAAAACAAAAAGGAATTTTGTAATGGTTTAATGGAAACTATAAGAATTTCTGTGATGGTTTCTATTGTTTTTTTCAGCAGGGTAATGATACCCATACTGTGCTGCACATTATTGGCAATATTGAGCTGAAGCTTGACTTTGCAAATTTAAAATCGCAAATCAAATCGCAATCGCAATATCTGTCAAAAAAAAATCGCAATTTGATATTTTCCCCCAAATTGCACAGCCCTACTGCGTGCTCTGCGTTAGGTTGTGGCAGTCTTGTGATAACAAAGGATTAGAAAACATATGTTAAAATAAAATAGGGTAGATAGCTGCTCACCTGCTCTGTGCTGCAGCCCTGTCAACTGTATAAGTTGTGTTAGGTGTTATCATCAAACCTTTGCCTTTTGCAGCTGCTCAAACCACACCTGTCCAAAGTTCTCCCCTAAGCAAAGATTAAAATGTAAGAGCCAAACCAGTTTTATCTGCAACACTGAAGAGACGACTATAGGATGTTTCAAGATACGTTTATTAGCTTTGGTTTGGACAACAAAACAAATCACATTACAGAACCTCAAAACCACTGGAACAAAATTAGAACATGAATTTAAAAAATAAACAAATAAAATAAACAGTTCACAGTTCAACCACTTTCATACATCAATGGTAGAACATTTCACAGTTCTCCCATCTGCTGCTTTATCTGCATGTTTCCTGGACACCCTCAATACTTAAAAGATGGCTCTTCTCCACCATGGCCTCGTGATTCCCAGTGATCTTTTGCTTTCTCCATGGTTGTATTCCACTTTGCCATGGTAGTCATCACCGTCCTCGACACAGCAGGCGCGTGACACGTCTTCATCTTCTTCTTGCTTTACGGCGAATCACAGACTTATAAGTGCATTACCGCCACCTATCTCTCAAATGGACCATTGACACTATCTACAATCTCAATTAGGAGTGTCAATGGTCCATGTACCTGAAAGTGATGCACGGGCTTCATTTTTTTTCTTTTCTCGGCGCCGGATTGCTGATGTCTTTTCACGGGTATAGTTGTCCATAAATTATGGTCATTTGCATTCAGCCGCAAACAGTTTTTTTTTTTTTGAGCAACTGGGGTGGTGCCCCCCTGGGAAATGGTGCCCTACACAAACTGTGTACTCTGCGTATAGGAAGCGGCGGTACTGTTTAAAATCATTCATGAAATACATTCATGATGCAGAATCAATGTACAATATATCAAAAGTACAACAATCAGATCTGTGGAACTGAGCTGAAGAACTTTTTCAGACTCGCTCTGGAGTTCCATCCTCTCTTCTTTGCAAACATGAACACACTCCCAAACAGATCAGGGAATGAAGCCATCAGGCTGATGCTCTCCGCGTCCTCTGGACTATGTAGAGAAAAAAAGACACCAAAACCATGGTCTGACACACAATAATACTAAATTATTCTAGTATAAATACTGTGTATGGTATTACATGTCACTCACTAATGCTCGTGCAGGTTGCGTATAAAACGCAGCAGGCCCAGTGTGTTCTCAGGATAGACTTTCTTCTTACCATCCAGTTTCTGGACAATATCAGACGGCAACTGACAAAAGAAATATATTTACAAATACAATTTATATTTTTTAAACTAAGATTATAGCAGGCCATGCACTATATTCATCTGATTTTACATTCAACTGAGGAAAGTCTAGAGGACAATAAATCAGATTTTTGTAGTTGTTACTATTTTCATTATTTTATTATGTAAATATTTCTTAAATATATTTATATTTACATATTTTTTATAAGTATGTTTGAATATTTCTGCATTGAAGTTAGACTCACTTTAGTCTTCCATTCAGAAAAGCTTTTCCCCTCTGTGTATTTTTCAACAGCTTGAAGGACCTCCTCATCGACATTACGACAGTTCTCTGCCTCATTCTGGTTCCCCATTTTTTTCAAATACTCCACTCTCCTGACAGGATTTCAGAAACAGTTTAATCTCGTCAGCTAATAAAAAAGTTTATCTAGATGCAATGCAGTTCCCTTTCGATACTTCACTCGTACTGCGTTGCTAGAGGACTGAAGCCTTTACAATCACGCAGTGTAACTGCACGGCCATTGGTTCGTGCTGTAAATAAAAAACTAACCAATGGCTCGGCAGCATTGCACGAGCCTATGGTGACGCGGAATGGGCGGGGCCATCTGGCTATATAAGCGGGCATTTCGCCATAGGATCTCAGATCAATTCTCTTTCAGCGAGGACGATCTTCCCTTCGCTGATCTACGGGACTTGAAGCGTTCGCCATTGACACGCCTCGCTGCAGACAGAAGCTGCCTTTTCTTCTGCGCCTCTCTGCTGTTCCCGCCCGCTCTACGAGCCGCCTTCAGCGTTCGGCGCATACACCAGCTCGTACCCTGCTGCCATCCGGCGAGCCTAAAAAAGCAAAATTTCACTTCTAAAAGAGCAGCGGCGTTGTTTCAAATGCCGCGCCGTCATTGCAGCTCATGCAGGATTGCACTGCGCGCTGACGATGGCCGCTCAGAGTGCGTTTCCTGTTTGGGCAAGCACCACACAGAAGCCGCTCTGACCGAGATGGAGTGTTTACACTGCGTGAGCATGAGTCTCGCCTCTCTGCACGCTCGGATCGCTTTCTTTTCAGAGAGAAAGCCTACTTAAAAGTCTGAGCCCCGACAGTGCTCCCGCTCAGCCAGAAGCTACCCATTTCCGAAGCGCCAAGGACCCCGGCCCAAGCTGACGTTGGATCCTGCACCTCAGGCGTCGTCCTGATCTGCTGGGCAGGAAGAGGAGGGGGCAAAGTCTCGTCAGCGCCGGACCACCCCCAAAACGCTCTCTGTTGTGCCCTCAAGCACCCCGTTCGGTTCCAGGTGCCAGTGGCAGTATGCTTGTTCTAGAAGCTGTTGTGAATACTGGGCCCGTTCCAAAAGCGCCCTCACAAACAGTCGCTGTTATAGCGAGAAAAATAAAGAACAAACATTTTCAAAAAGAGAGCAAATTTCCTCTTCTAGTTATCACGAGTGTCAAGTCCCCGCATGGTGACTCACCACCTGAACTTATCCAACCCCTCGCCACACAGTCCGAGGCCTGGCAGACCATCCCCAGAGTGTCAGACTGGGTTCTGGGGATTAAAAAACGAGGTTACTCACTCCGGTTCGCTCAAAGACCCCCGCGATTCTGCGGCGTGGTCTCCGCCTCAGTGCAGAGCAAGGACGCTCACATCTTGCGATCCGAGGTGAAGAATTTACTGGCAAAAGGAGCCGTAGAGACGGTTCCGCCAGCTCAGAGCAAGTCAGGCTTTTACAGCCGTTACTTCCTTGTCCCCAAAAAGGATGGCGGCCTCCGGCCCATCCTCGATCTCAGACACCTGAACCGTGCCCTCATGAAACGGTCGTTCAGAATGACTAGCCTGAAGCAGATCCTCTCGCAAATACGCCCAGGGGACTGGTTCTTTTCTCTGGATCTGAAAGATGCTTACTTTCACATCCAGGTAGCCCCCCATCACAGACGATTCTTGAGATTTGCCTTCGAGGGAGTGGCATATCAGTACACGGTCCTGCCTTTCGGACTGTCCCTGGCTCCCCGCACTTTTAGGAAGTGCATGGATGCAGCCCTCTCCCCTCTGAGGCAGATGGGAGTCCGCATTCTGAATTACCTCGACGACTGGCTCATCTTAGCCCAGTCAGAGGCCAAGCTAATATCACACAGGTCCCTCCTCCTCAGCCACTTAGAGTGCCTGGGACTCAGGGTCAATAGCTCTCTGTCTTGCAGCCAACGAACTTCGTTCCTGGGAGCAGTTTTTGACTCAGTCCACATGAGGGCGGTAGTCGTGCCAGAACGTGCACTGGCCATACAACAGCTCACTGCATCTTTCAAAATCGGAGCCTCTCGCCCTCTCAAGATGTTTCAAAAGATGCTGGGTCTCATGGCCTCGGCATCGCCGGTACTACAGCTGGGCCTGCTCCGCATGAGACCCCTTCAGTACTGTCTGAAACCTCAAATTCCGCCCCATGTGTGGCGTCACGGACGCATTCGTGTCAGGGTCTGTGAGTCTGTGTAACAGTTCTGGCCCCTTGGAAAGACCCACATTGGTTCAAGCAGGGCGTGACTATGGGCTTGATTCACAGAAGGAAGGCTGTCTCAACAGAGAATCTGGGAGATCTTTGGCAGGGCAGATGTCAACCTCTTTGCCTCAAAAGACAACTCTCATTGCCCAACTTATTTTTCGAAGAGCGAAGACACATTGGACCACAATTGGCGCAACCTCCTCCTGTATGCTTTTCCCTCAGGTAATCAGACGAGTCAGGGAACACAGACACAGAGTCCTTCTGGTGGCCCCGCTCTGGAGGAACCAGCTTTGGGTTTCAGAGCTGTCTCAGCTGCTGACAGCAGCCCCGTGGCCCATTCCCCTGATGCAGGACCTTCTCTCTCAGGTGAACAGGACGATTTGGCACCCCCAGCCCGAGCTGTGGGCTCTGCACCTCTGGGCTCTCTATGGGAATCAGTAGATCTCCCTGACAGCGTCCTAAATACTATCTCACAGGCTAGAACCCCGTCTACGAGACGCCTCTATGCCCTTAAGTGGTCAGTCTTTTCCGCCTGGTGCACAACCCGTGGCGAAGACCCAGTTTCATGTGACATATCAGTGATATTGTCCTACCTACAAGAGCTGTTGGACAAGGGCCGCTCCCCTTCCACGCTCAAGGTTTATGTGGCAGCTATAGCAGCTTAACATAGTCCTATAGCCGGACAGTCTGTGGGCCGGAACAACTTAGTTGTCCGTTTCCTGAAAGGATTCAGGAGGCTCAATCCGCCCCGGTCCCCCACGGTCCTGAGAGCCCTCAAGGGCTCCCCCTTTGAGCCACTACAGTCTGCAGACTTGAAAACCCTGTCGTTGAAAACCTCTCTGCTACTGGCTTTAGCATCGGTTAAATGAGTAGGTGACTTGCAGGCTCTCTCGGTAAGTCCTGCCTTTTCAGGCGGTCGGAACAACTTTTTGTATGTTTTGGTGGCCGCACCAAAGGGTCCCCGGTCACAAAGCAGAGGATTTCTCGATGGTTAGTTGACGCTATCACGCTAGCATACTCCTCCCTGGGTCTTCGGAGCCCCATAGGAGTCAGAGCCCATTCCACTCGGGGCGTGGCCTCGTCCTGGGCGTGGTCTAGCGGTGTGTCCATAGCAGTTATTTGTGCGGCGGCCGGCTGGGCCTCGCCGTCCACTTTCACCAGGTTCTATAACTTGGATGTTCCGGCCTTGCAGGCTCAGATTCTATCACGTGCCTGCCTAAGGTGTCTAATTCTTCAGGCATTGCCTGTTTTTTCAGGTACGCTCTTGGCCCTTTCAGTAGTACCCGTTCCCGTATCACAGGGAACCGAGGTTATGTAAGTAACAGAGTACGTTTTCCCTTCATTTAATATAAAACCATAAGTTGTTAGTATTGTAAGCAGTGCTGAACCTCTCTAGCTTGTACCAAAATAACAAATCATGAGTTTAATAAGGTCATGAGGTGTTTATTAATTTTAGATTGATAAATGCCATTGCCAAATCAATGGAGTATTTTACCTTTCATCAGTCCAGAAGAAGGGGTGTGTGAGGGTTTGCTCCACAGTTGGTCTGTTGTTTGGATCTTCATTTATCATCCACTCGACGAGATCCTTTGCTACATCATTATCCAGATGTTCCAGTGAGCATCTTCCTTCTAGAATGTTGACTTCACAACGTGGACCTTTACCAAATGGATGGTGTCCTCTAGAGAGAATGTAGTACACTAACATCCCAGCAACCTTAAAAAAGGTTATAGTGTGATTAGTTTTGAATTTTCACCAACTACAATTAAAATGACTTGTATTTAAGCCAATAATTGAATTTCTAATAATGTATTTTAATCACAGTTTTTAATTAAGTAATAATTACAGTATTGTTGACCACCTGAATGTCGGAGCTCCTCTTGTACCCAGTGTTGGCCTCCTCATCTAAGGTCTCTTTTGCCTTCCAGCATCTAGTTCCAGCACTGCTTGTTCGTAAAGTGGTTTGGCTGAGGTTCAATCGACGACTTATGCCAAAATCAGCCAATCTGGCTTTTCCTTTTGTATCTGGAAAAAGGTAAAGGCCATTGTCCTTTTAAAAACATAGTTTTGATGAATTAAATAAACATGGAAACTTTGGTTTAACTCCTACCAATCAGGACATTCTGGGGTTTGATATCTCGATGGAGCACTTTGGTTTGCTGGTCGTGTAAAACCTGTAAGCTGCAGAGAACTTCCTTCACCAGCTTCTTCAGAACCAAAGATCTCTCAGCGCTGTCATCTGGTAAATGATCTTGGATATATTCCTCCAGTGTGTACTCACAAAGCTGAAGAACAAGGTACCCAAAATCCTTATCCTTTGCAAAGTCCACATATCGCACAATGGAGGGACTATCAAAAAGTCGTAGAAATTTCTCCTCATTTCTGAGGACTTGGTAATTAGACTTAATCATTCGTTTCACAGCCACCTCAGTGCCGTCATCCCTCAAACCAAGGAAAACTTCTGTTCCATCACTTCCCTTAGCGATACGAAATTCATCTGTGAGTACAAGAGTAAGGTTTCCCAGCCTATTGGTATTACTACTATCAATGTTAGCTAGCTTCTCAAGCTTGGACCTCCAACGACGGCTGATTTGACGCCACTCTCTCGAGTTCTCATCAGGATGTGTGAACGGCTGCACACTTGAATTTGATTCCTCAATGGATGTCACTACAGTGTCTGGACACGGTTCCTCTTTATTTTGCTGCTCACTTTCTTGTGATCCCACCTCTTGATGGATTTTCTTCTTTTTCTTTTTCTTCTTCTTTCTGCTTGTTGATAGAGATGCTGTCTCCTCACATAAACTATCCACTGCACTTGAACCTGCTGGATGTCTCAGTGATTCATCCAACTTTTGCAGCTTTTTTTTCATGACTTCATCCATCTCTATCTCTGCAGTGTTAAGTATCATCTCTGGGACGGGTGACAATCCACACAATGCTACAAGTTCAGGAGCAATATCATATATGCATGCAAACAGTCCATAGGTCCAAACTCCAATCAGACTTGAATAATGAGGACGTGTGAGAGGCAATAGACTTTTGCACAACTTCTCATAGACAGAATGACTGAGTCCCCGTTTCTGCTCGGACGTCTTATGCATCATTAAACTGAGTATCTTTAGTATCAGATGATTGATTGTTTCTCCTTGTGCATTTCCGGAGTGCTGAAGTCTGTATGTTAGAATAGACACAAGATCACTGAATATCTGAGGAAAGATGCTTTTGCTGATACATAAAGCAACATATAAGCAGTTTAGTGGATTCAGCCAGTATTCCGGAGGTATTTTTGGGAAGCGTTTGATGACTCCTTCAATGTATTTGTCTGCACTCTTTGTATCTTTTAAAAACTTGATGGCGCTCTGACGATACTGCTCCGCACCTTGACCAATGACACCAAAATACACCTCAAACAAAATAATATGATTGAAAGGATCCTCTTGAAAAAAAATTTCATTATAGAGTCTATAAACTTCTATCTGAGTTTTTGTTCGTACAGCACAAGAAAGAGAGAAAAACAGATGTACTTTCTCAAACACTTCACCCTGTGAAGATAATTGATGAATCATTCTCTCCACTTTTTTATCAAGCTCTTGATTCACCCCATAGTTCCTTTCAGGTGAAGCTCCAGCCTCTATAAGTGCTTTCACAATGTCTTCACGGTCACAATCAACAGCACAATGCAGTGGAGTAAACATTTGTAATCCTTGTCCATTTGGGTTAGCTTTTGCTGCAAGTAATCTTTTCACAATAGTCAGTGGAACTCCATTTGTAAATGCAGCATAATGTAGAGGAGTTAGTCCATTTGTTGAGGGTTTGTTTGGATCAGCCGACTCTTCAAGTAGATAAGAGCAGATTTCTTCATTTCTGCATAAAACTGCTGCAGTTAATGGAGTAACATCATCTTTCCAGTCTTCAGAAGGGTACAGTCCATTAATATCTTTTCCTCTTAATAATCTCTGAAATCTCCGTGTCTTGTTCTCTAAGATGCATTGTATTAGAGCATCTGTTTTTCTAGGTACTGCTGGAATTGGAACTGGAATTGGAAGTGAAATCGGTAATGTTATCTGGAATGCCATGGATCTTCAAATTTTCATAAAAATCTGTGGAAAGATATTAAACACCATTGCCATTATGGACATTTAATACATCTCATCTCCAGAACCTTTTATAAGTATTTTAATTAGACACATAACCACAAATTATAGATCCATCCATCCATCCATCATTTCTGACAATCATTTCAAAAGGTAATTTTTTATTACTTAAATACATGCATATGAATATTTACATGAAGTGACAAAATTAAAAAGAGCAGAGCCATTAATCAAAAGTGTTGAGATGCATAAGCTTAAAAGTGTTGCGATGTATTTGAGCTTTTTAACATTACTTGAGCATTACAAACAAGATTTATGGGTCAGTTCATGTCAGATTTTGTTGTTTAAAGGGGTCATATGATGCGATTTCAATTTTTCATTTCTCTTTGGAGTGTTACAAGCTCTTGGTGCATAAAGAAGATCTGTAAAGTTGCAAAGACTAAGGTCTCAAATCCAAAGAGATATTCTTTATAAAAGTTAAGAGTTAACCACGCCCTCCTAAAACGGCTCGTTCTAACACGCCCCCATGTCTACGTCACGATGTGGGAAGATTTGCATAACGCCGCCTAAATGTTCACGCAAAGGAAGTAGGCGTAACTTTTATTCTCGCTGTAGTATTGTTGCTGCCGCCACTGCCATGTTGTGGAGATGCTGTGTGTTTCATTGTAATAGCGAAACTACTTTTTTTGGCCTTCCAAAAGAGGACACAACTAGAAATCAGTGGTTAAGTTGTATTTACAACACTGTTCCAGAACAGTTTAACCCAAATATTCAGATGTTTGCAGCGCATTTTATGGAGGACTGTTTCTTGATCTTGGGAAGGCTGTGCACAAAGGCTGTTTCTAAGTGGGGCAGTTCCAACTTTGCAAGGACAGTCTGGCGCTTCTGACTCACAGTCTGTAAGCACGTTTACATATTTAAAGAATTTGCCACTGATGATTCAAACGCGAGTTTTGAGCAGCGTAGAGTAGCGCTTGTTGTTCGTCGTTTCTCTGTTCACAAATGCAGACATGATTTTATGTTTACGCAGCGCGATACGCAACGCAACGCGTAAAAAGACAGTATAAGTCATTATAATCAGTAATTATGTGCCCACTGGATGCTACAAATGCCTCGTTTGTAATGGGTTTGGTTGGTTTTGTCTGGTCGCGCTGGGACTCTGCATCACAGTATGTTAAGTGGCATAACATTTCCGTCATGCGCTTGAGGCATTCGGCCAATCACAACGCACGGCATAGCTGGCCAATCAGCGTATACCTTGCTTTTTTAGAACGTTGAGCTTTGTAAAAATCGACGCGTTTCAGAAAGGCGGGGCATAGAGGAGCAACAATAATGTGTTTTTTGAACCTTAAACCGCATAAACACATTTCATTATACACAAATATACAAAATAATGTTCTTTTTAGCAACGTCATATGACCCCTTTAATGTGAGTTTGGCAAGCAGTTTTTGAGATTTAACAGTTTCCCCATTCAAGTAGACAGAACTTGGTCATGCATGCCTGAAATATAACTGTTAGGTGGCATTGCAAATATGGACGCAGATTGAACAGATTTTCCCGGAAAGTGACTTTTGTGAAAATCCCTTAACCGTTTAAAAGAAGAATATGACAAATATATCGCTTTCATCAGCAGACACGGGCATGGCAAACTGATTTATTTTCATGAATTTATGACTTGACCTTGAGAATGAAAGGCCTTATAAACAGGTAATTGCAAATGCTCTCCCTCTCATAATACTCTGCTCAATAATACACTAATACTCTTTATGTTACTCATAGATATGTATACGTCGATGCCACATGCAACCGATTTACAGCATGTCGCTTTAACTGCATTATAATTGCCTTTTATGTCTTTTAAATTACATGGTTCATATTACAGCCCAACCGATATATCGTTTTGCCGATATTATCGCCCGATATGAGCCTGCCGCCGATATATCGGTATCGGCGAATATGCCGCCGATATGAAAATTTTTTTTTACAGAACATATAATGCAGATAAAATGCTTGAAATGGTGTAATTACTTTCTTTGTCCAGCAGAGCACGCTCCATTGTTTGCTACTGGCGACCTGGATGAAACGCTTTAAAGCTTAAGTCTATGGAAAACCATTGAAACTTTGAACGGCCATATCTCCATAATGGCGCATTCAAAGGGCATTAAAGTGCGCGAGACGTGAATTTATATTTATTTACAGAGGTATATTATGTCACACTTCACACTTCTCTAGTAAGTTTCATCTGTGTGTGTGAAGACAGTAGCGCAAATCCGTGAATGAATGTTCCAAAGTGAAATAAAACTTCAACGGTATAAAGTTGAATGGAATTGAATTGAATTAAAGTTGAATAAACTTCAACTTTACTGTTCAGTGCACTGATGTTAAGACTCATTTTGGATAGTAAAGTTTATTGTTAAATTGTTAAATGCCCTTACATATCTCTGTCACCATTATAAGTGTTTGATCACCACATTTGAGTGATCATTGCAAAAAAATTTGTTTATGTATATATATTCTGTTTATGTATATACTGTATTCTATATATAGTACCAGTCAAATGTTTGGACACACGAATGGGAAAGTGTCCAAACTTTTGACTGGTACTGTACTATAATATACACAAAGAATATCGGCCGATATATCGGTATTTTTTTTACTCCCTAATATCGGTATCGGTATAGGTTGTAAAATCAAACATTTCTCGTTCTTACTGTTTTTTTTTTTAGTTAGCTTATGTACTAGCATAATGTAAAGCTAAAGATTAGCCTGCTTATACATCACCATTTGCACTTACTGTACATATATATTCACAACGAACTGTAATTTATTCAAGTATTAAATGTCCATATATTTTGGTTATCATAATAACTATAATATGTCTGTATTATTTTGTGTAATTATTAACTTGAAAAAAGTTTGACATCCGTCCGCGTCATGACATATGAAATTACGTTTTATTATGTACAGAAGGCACATACTCTCTTTTTCCCACACAAATGCACACACATACAGTACAGACACACACTCGCACAGAAACATGTTGTCAGAGCTGCTCTCCTGTTGTGTTGTACACTTATGGGGGAACTCCTGTTTACTCTGAATACTGAAGCCTGATTTGTTCACATCCGTGCACGAACAAATGGCCTGCCAAAAGGGGTGGGGCTGACTGCTATATAAGATGGCTATATAAGAGCGCCATTTCGTCAGAATTTTCTCCTTCAGCGTGAAGATCATCTCCTCGCTGGACTCTGAATAAGAAGAAGCAAGAAGCTCGCATTCACCAGAACAGAGTGCTCTCATTGCAAGAGCATAGGCCTCACACTGCTTTGCTTGCGGATCACCTTCTTTCTTGAATGTGGTCCTCACCCGTCTGCTTTCCCATTTCTCCCTCCCAGGAGCCTCGGAGGAAGAAACAGCGGACTGAATTATCGGGCTCGAGTCAACTCACGCCGGCACAGGTCCCACATGCTTCACTCTCCCCGCAACGCCTCGACTCGCCAGTGTATTTCACACGTAAGGATCCGTGCCCTTGTTTGCAGCGAGCGGCTTGATCTCCTTCGGCGGATCTGAGGAGGAAGCTGTCGGTGATAACTCCATATCACTGACAGCTTCAGATGTGGATGGGTGGGCGTGTTCCAGCACCCTTCCTCCCAAGGATTCAACACGGGCCAGCGTGGACAGCGAGCTGATTCCTCCCAGCAGCCTGCGAAACCCGTGCCGTCTCTGGACCAGCCTGAGCCCAAGTCTGAGCCTAGGCTCCAACAGCGCCCTCAGACAGCTAAAAACTACCCATTTCCTAAGTGCCAGGGACCCCGCCCCAGAGTGACGTTGGACCCTGAGCCGCAGAAGCTGTCCTGATCCCAACGCAGAGAGGAAGATGAGAGGACCAGGTCCCGCCAAGGCCGGACTGCCCTCAAAGAAGTTTCACGCTCGTTCTCCATCCCCCCACTTAGCTCTGGTTGATGGAAGCTCTGTTCAAGCTGAGCCCGTCCTTCTCACTCAGCACACGCCCAAGCAAACTACCGCTGTGATAGCGGACTCACATATTCAAAAGAGCACTTCTCTTCTCATTATCACAAATGCCAGTTCCCCGCCTCTTTGCGATGATCGGCCACTCAAAAGACTCAGTCCACTTGCCACCCGGCTCCAGGCTTGGAAAGCCATCCCCGGTGTGTCAAGTTGGGTTGTGCAGACCATAGAATGAGGTTACTCGCTGCAGTTCGCTCGCAGACCCACTCATTTCAGAGGTGTCATTCAAACTTCGGTACAGGACAACGATGCACACATTCTCCGGGCCGAAGGGCAAAGTCTGCTTGCAAAAGGGGCTGTAGAGACCGTCCCTCTAGCGAACAGCAAGTCAGGTTTTTACAGCCTCTACTTCCATGTTCCCAATAAAGATGGCGGGCTCAGGTCCATCCTTAATCTCAGATGCCTGAACCATGCGCTGATGAAATGCCCGTTAAGGATGTTGACTTTGAAACAGATCCTCACGCAGATATGCCCCGGGAACTGTTTTTTTTTATCTGTGAATCTGAAAGACGTTTACTTTCATATCCAGATAACCCCTCATCACAGACTGTTCTTGAGATTCACTTTCGAGGGGGTGGCTTATCAATATACAGTCCTGCCCTTTGGACTGTTTCTGGCCCCGCGCACTTTTATGAAGTGCGTGGACACGGCACTTTCCCCTCTGACGCAGAAGGGAATCCGCATTATGATTTACCTTGACGATTGGCTTGTGTTAACCAGATTGTAGCAGGAAATTCTCGCTCACAGGTCGCTGTTGCTCTGCCACCTGAAGTATCTTGGGCTGAAAATCAATTTAGCCAAGAGCTCTCTGTCTCCCAGCCAACAAGTCATCTTCCTGGGGACACGCTGGAACGTCCAATTACAATTCAGCGGCTAGCAGCGTCATTCAGATTTGGGACTTCTCGTCCCCTCAGAGTCTTCCTGAGGATGCTTGGCCTCATGTCAGTCGCCCCCTCTGTGATTCCATTGGGCCTGCTTAATATGCGGCCCCTCCAATTTTGGCTCAGAGCCTGGGTACGTCTTTG